GATATTAAATTAAGAGAAGTCTTTTGTAGCGGGATATTCCCCCCGCTACATGTTACAATAAACTCAGTAATTTGTGAGGAGCTAATGTGGGAGGAGTAAGGAGAGGGAAGAGGAGGGGTGAGGAGGAGGGAAGAGAGATGTAGCAGCCATGGAGAACTACGGACGCATCAAGAACAGTCCTGGGTAACAAATTATATCTAAGGTTAGGTATTGGGTAACAACTCTAATTGTGTGGGCAAATTGTTTATTGAGCCTTTCTAAATACATAAAGCCTTTGGATAATGATTAAGCTTTAGAGTCTCATTTCCACCAGGTACCGCGTGGATGGTGGGTATGGTCTGGGATTCAGCCTAGCTTTGTGGAGACAGCGTACTGGATTGCAGAGCTGGCCACAACGATGGCATCTCGTGGGTGCCAGGGCTGGTGTTTCTGGTTGGCCAGAGCTGTGGGTCTAGTTGTGGTGCACTCGCCGGTGGCCTCCGGCCGCTTCCAGCTGTGGTGTGGGTGGCTTCTGGCCACAGAGCATGGTGGCCTGAGCTAAGCAGAGCTGCCTCTGCTTTAGATAGTCAGTCAGAGCAGTGGCATTTTTAAAATATTATCTCAAAAGTCTTGGATAGAGCCAGGCACAGCAAGATTTGTCTGGGAGGATGTGATGAAACAGATTCATGATACTGAGCACAGGTAACCAATCACATGGCAGACTATAGGTTAAAAGAATGGGATTAATTTAGTTATGCTCTAGCCAGAGAAGAGCCTAACTATATGGCCAAGGTATTTATAAATATATTTTAAGTCTCAGTCTTATTTCTGGGAGCATGGGGCTGGGAGGAAGAACTGGGACAAACTTCTACAAATGGTACCCAACTTAGCACTTAGAACCCAAGCTTACACCTTAAAAAGGCCTGAGTGAAAAGCAGGCAAATGTCAAATATCTAGTTTTCTAATTAACAGCTTTTTTTATAATAATTTTTAAAAAAATTAATAAAGCATTTATTTAAATAAAATGAATGCCAAATGTCACAGAGGAATTTACGAGTGCTCAAAACAAATTGACATTTTTCATTTCACTGAGGTTCCCAATGGGTTATAAACTAAAATACATGGATCTTGATCCTGTTATCTGCCCCCAGCTTCTTCATGAAATCTCTAGCAAAATTTGTTAAAAGAAATCTTAGAAAAGCAATATTTGTTTTTGAGTGCTTGCAGACAAGGGCACTGCGATGGTGGGTCATCTTTCCCACTCACTGAAGGCTACTGAGTGTTGGGCCGTCAGTAAAAACACAGTCCTGTGGATTTAGCACCAGAGGATCTCTTCACACAGCAATGTCTCTCTTTTTTTGTCAGGTCATGCAATGTCATAAGAGAAGGCATCTCACCAACAATCTAGTGGTTGATGTTGAAACTAGCTGGAGTAGAATGTATGAAAATGGCTAGGTGTGAGAACTTGGAAGGACAATGATTTGACATGCCTTTTTTTAAAATTTTTATTTAATCTTTGTTTACAGTCCAGATTCTATCCCCCTCACAGTCCACCCTCTGACTGTTCCACATCCCATACCTCCTCCTCTACCCTATTGTCTTCATGAAGATGTCTCTACCACCCCATCACCCACTCCAGCAGACCTCACCACTCTCAGGGGACTCCAGTCTCTCGAGAGTTAAGTGCATCTTCTCTGACCGAGTCCAGACCCAGCAGTCTTCTGCTGTATATGTGTTAGGGGACCATATCAGCTGATGTATTCTGCCTGGTTAATGGCCCAGTGTCTGAGAGATCTTGGGGGTCTGGGTTGGTTGAGACTGCTGTTCCTTCTACAGGATCACCTTCCTCCTCAGCTTCTTCCAGCTTTTCCCTATTTCTACCACAGGGGTCAGCAGCTTCTATCCATTGGTTGTGTGTAAATATATGCATCAGACTCTTTCAGCTACTTGTTGGGTCTTTTGGAAGGCGGCCATGATAGGCCTCTTTTTGTGAGCCTCAGTAATAGTGTCAGGCCTTAGGGCCTCTCCTTTAGCTGGATCCCAATTTGTGCCTGTCACTGGACCTCCTTTTCCTCAGGCTCTTTTCCATTTTTGTCCCTGCAGTTCATGCATGTCCTTTTGGGTCTGAGTTACCACACTCAGGATGATATTTTCTAGTTCCAACCATTTGCCCAAAAATCTCAGGATGTCCTCATTCTTAATAGCTGAGTAGTATTCCATTGTGTAAATGAACCACATTTTCTCTATCCATTCTTCTGTTGTGGGACATCCGGGTTGCTTCCAGCTTTTGGCTATCACAAACAAGGCCACTATGAACATAGTGGAACACTTGCCCCTGCAGCATGGTGGGGCATCTTTTGCGTATATGCCTAAGTGGTATAAATGGATCTTCAGGTAGATCTATTTCCAATTTTCTGAGGAACTTTCAGATTGATTTCCAGGGTGGTTGTACCAGTTTGCAATCCCACCAGCAATGGAAGAGTGTTCCTCTTTCTCCACATTCTTGCCAACATGTGCTGTCACTTGAGGTTTTGATCTTAGCCATTCTGATTGGTGTTCTTTAAAGACACAGAAAGAGCAATTCTCAAATTCATCTCAAAAAACAAAAAACCCAGAATAGCAAAAACAGTTCTTAAAAATAAAAGAATTTCTGGGGGAATCACCATCCCTGAAATTAAGCTATACTACAGAGAAATAGGGATAAAAACTACATGGTATTGGTACAGAGACAGACACGTTGATCAATGTAATAGAATTGAAGACCCAGAAATAAAATCATACACTTAAAGACACTTGATCTTTGACAAAGAAGCCAAAACTATACAATGGAGAAAAGAAAGCATCTTCAATAAATGGTGCTGGTCTAACTGGCAGTTAGTATGTAGAAAACTGAAAATAGAACCATATTTGTCACCTTGCACAAACTCAAGTTCAAGTGGTCAAGGATCTCAACATAAAACCAGAAACACTGAATCTAATAGAAGAGAAAGTGGGAAAGAGCCTTGAACTCATTGGCATGGTGAAATTTCTTAAACAGAACTCCAATGGCTCATACTTTAAGATCAAGAATTAATAAATGGAACCTCATAAAACTGGAAAGCTTCTGTAAGGCAAAGGACAAATCAATAGGACAAACATACAACCTACGGATTGGGAAAATATCTTCACTAACCCCACATTCAATAGAAGTGTGCAAAATATATAAAGAACTCAAGAAGCTAAGAACCAAAAAACCAAACAACCCAATCAAAAAATGGAGTATAGAACTAAACAGAGAATTCACAACAGAGGAATCTAAAATGACTGAGTAGCACTTAAAGAAATGTTCAAAGTCCTTAGCCATCAGGGAAATGGAAATCAAAGTGACTCTGAAATTCCACCTTATACTAATCAGAATGATTTGACAGTTCTAAGGAAAGGGGAAAAAAAGGAACCTGAGAAGAATTAGTCAAACAGAAGAGGATACTGAAGAAGGTGTATTAGAAAGTTCAGGAAGAGACTGCTAATGGTATGGAGATGCTGCCAGGACAGGAGCTTTGGAATGACTGTTGGCAGCACAAAATGTCTCCAGGGACCATTAAAGTACTCTGCCAGACAGTGATGATTCTACAACTTAATAAATACATTAACTACCACTAAATTGTGTACTTGTAGATAATTTTTAAAAAATGAAAAATAGAGCAAAATAAGATGTATTGGAACATGTAAATCCAGAAAGATATATCGAATAGGAGACTGAAAACTTATAGAAAGGCAATGATGAAGACGCCAATATAGAGCTTAAAACATGTTTCAACAGAATAGTCACTACTGTCTCCTCTTTTCGAATCAAAGAAATGTGAATCTGTAAGATTCCTCCTTATTCTATTTCTGTTAGCCAGTTGCATAATGATTCTGACGGTCCAGGGATGCATTCGGTCTCATTAACTAAAAAGCCATACTGGATGTGCTGTTGACATTCCTAACATGTTCATGCTGCGATGAAGCATAACTCTGCCACTCTTGCTGCTGTGGTTAAATCTAACCCTACCGCAGAAGGTCAGTTTAGTTGATGTGATTTTCATCCCATATGTCATCTCTAGTAACCCCAAGTAGAGCTGGAATCACCATCAATGAATACTGATAATAGATTTCTTTTATATGGCTGTTTGCCATGTTAACCTCCTTGTCTTGTGGCAGTTCACTGACCTAATGATTCTGCACCAACCACACGCTTTCTCTTTGCTACATTTATTGGGTTTTAAGCTGAAGAGGTTTAAAACATAAAACAAACTCAATACTAATTTTGGGGGGAGGGGATTACATAATACTTTGAGTATTATTTTCTCTCTCTCTGACTTTCTTTCTTTCTTTTTTATTTTCTTTCATTTACTCTGTAAGCCTACAATTTATGTATTATTGGTTTTGTTTACATATTCTAGTTTCCAATATGATATTTTTGTAGGATTTCTGTGTTTACCAATGTCTCTATGCTTTTTTTTTGGTTCTTTACTTTTCTGTTTGTTTGTTTTGTTATTATCTTATTTATTTATCCTTTTTCAAATGCCTATTGTTTTATAATAAGAGAGAGAGTGTGAGAAAAGGATGTGACTTGGGTGGGTAGTGTAGATCTGGAAGGAATGTATGTGTCGTGGGGAGACCTGTAATCAGAATATCTTGTATGAGGAACAAAGAAATCTATTTTCAATAAAAAAACCTAAAAGCTGAGGCAGATAGTAAACTTTGACCTGAACACTACTAAGATAAAGTATATTACAAACTATTAAGAATATGTGAATGATTTTGATCCATCTATTTATTAAATCTTTTTTTGTTTTGTAACTGGTACAGAGCTGGTTTTATTAATACCATGACATTGATTGAAAGTTTCACATCTGTATAAAATGTATTACCACCAGCCTTATTTCACTTGCTCATTGAATGGAATACTATGTAATGAGATCAATCCATTCACAATCCTTGGTTGACTTCTGCATCTCTTCTTTGTTTTATTCATTTGCTTTCCTATGCTCTCCACATAGGTTTTCCAAATGAGCCTGCAGCAGTCATTGCCCTAGGAACGATTAAGGAATGGCTGGCCAAGAATCACCAGGAGGTAAGAGGACCAACACAATGATGATTCCATATAGTGTGATTTGAGCCTATGTTAAAACAGGACAAAAAATTTGCATCAATACCAACCAGACCTGCTCCTTACACTGGTGCTATCTGGCTTTTCTTCATTTGGGTTGCATGGGATTAAATATTTTCCTGTAATCATTTGGCTGAGGTAGATATCATGACAAGTTTGGTGGAGAAGATGAGCGAGGAGAGCAGACACGTTGCCTCAAATTCTACTCTTCATGCTTTTAGGACATTATGGGGTGTGGGGGGAGAAGGAGGTTGGAATGGATTTGTTGATAATTCTTTATTCTTCCTGGGCTAATTTCCTTAAACAAACTAGTTTGTCTTTGTTGCTTGTGTGGTAACACATTACATCTGGTAGTAGGCTCCATCTTTATTTATAGCTAGGCCATTTCTTAATGTGACTTCTAGATGTGGAACTGCAATTAGATTGCATAATTTTAACTGGCATTTATGGCAACTTTCTCTCTTTCTTTCTTTCTTTCTTTCTTTCTTTCTTTCTTTCTTTCTTTTTTCTTTCTTTCTCTTTTAAGTGAAATGAAATGCTTTCATTTGAAATAATTTATATATTATTGGTTTTGTTTATATATTCTAGTTTCCAATATGGTATTTTGTAGGATTTCTGTGTTTACCAATGTCTCTATGCTTTTTCTTTGGTTCTTTACTTTTCTGTTTATTTGTTTTGTTATTATCTTATTTATTTATCCTTTTTCAAATGCCTATTGTTTTATAATAAGAGAGAGACAGTGAGAAAGGATGTGACCTTGGGTGGGTAGTGTAGATCTGGAAGGAATGTGTGTGTCGTGGGGAGACCTGTAATCAGAATATCTTGTATGAGGAACAAGGTACATATCTCATCCCCATTTCTACTCCTTCAGTAAGGTCTATAAAATATGCTGGGATATGGAGAGTGATAATCAAGAGAATTACTCATATAAATAAAGCAGTAGTACAGCTACAACAAGAAGCTGTACACTTCAGGGGTTTGTCTGTTCACCCATCAAAACAGCAAGAGAGTTACAGGCAGTGTACAGCCTTCTGCATTATTCCTTTCTCTGATTGTTCTGATTTTCTTCTTTAGATTGTCATTTAATTATTACAGTGAGTTTTGCTTCCATTTATGATTGTGAATTTAGCTTTCTCTTTGGGTAGGGGACAGAATATTTGGAAAAGGCTGAGTATGGAAAAGAGCCTGTGATTGTTTTCTATTGAGGACCAGCTTTATTATTCTACATATTTAAAGAAATAGTGTCATTTTCTAATTAATATAATTTCAACATTCCTTAACCAGATGTATTGTTAACCTTTAGTAGAAGTGAGGACCATACAGCCAAATATGTAGATCTCTTCCTGCCGCACAAATTTGAAATGTAGGTATACTATAACTTTAATGTAGATGATACTTGCCTCAAAGAAGGAAAAGAAAAACAAGAGACTAATATATCTAGCTTATAAACATCTCTTATCTTCACAGCAGTCTTCTGGGGCTAGAAAATGACCCTTTTCTAGCAACAAAAAATTAGATAAGATTTCTAAGAATCCCATGGAGTTGTCTCATTTCATGTCTCCCAGCTATCTCTCATGCCAGGGAAGGATGTGAGTTCTTTTGAAAACTCTTATTGTCCACATATGTCTATTTCACACAAAATATTCCTTAGGATGCTATCCTTTTTTGTGTCCTCCAAAAACCATAGCATATCTCATGATTAAAAGTTGCTAACACTGCAAGTATACTTGTTACTAACCTTCCTTTCTCCTGAATGATAACCTAAGAATAAAGAATATATGGACTGAAGAAATTTCATGCTTTTCACCTTGGCCTGTGGTACAAGTGCCCATGAACACTGAGGAGCTGATAATGAAGAGGAAGATATACTACCCATATGTACTGCTCATTGACAAATTATAGCAGCACATTGATCCCAATAAAGCCGTCTAGAGAACTTTCTGAAATGCGTTCTTAGTGTCTCCTACTGAATTCTCTAACGCAGTCTGTCTCCGAGTCTATTTTTTTCATTTTATTTTCATGTACATCTTGGGCATTGTAGAAAATTTAGGTCATTTTGCTTCAGTAACATGCTAGTTGTGACTACATTAAATATATCTTGTGCTGGTAACCTTTTAAGAACTTCTTGTTTTAATATATACTAAAGAGTGTCAGCAAGTTAATTTGGACACATCTCATTTTACTGAGTAAATAAATTATAAGTGACTATAGATAAAAGCTATGCAAACTGATTATTCAATTGTAATTTGATGTAAGATGTACTCTGCTTAACCAAACAAACTAGGCTAAAGATTTGTGAAAGAATTTTGCTTCCAATTCACTTGTCTTTTAGTTGCAGTGTTGTTTTGACATCTTGATTGTTTCAGTGAGTTATTCATTTCTTCATTCATTTGATAAATATTTATGGAAATCCACTAGGCACATTTCTACCTGGGACAAAGCACTAAAAGACAAACAAATAGTCCCTTTCTTTTGGTAGTCACATTCTGTGAAGAGAGAAGCAAATTAAGCAAATAAAGAAATAAAACAGTCCAAAGAGTTCTTTACAAGATCAAGCATCATAGCTACAGAATGGATTATAAGAAGATGTGGTTTTACTCTTCTGAGGCTATGACTTTGGTGGAAATTTTTTATAACAAGAGGGAGTAAGCTAAGCTCTACAGAGTGTCTGAGGTAAAACATTCCAGGAGGAAGAATCAAGAAGACAGAAACAGGCATAGATTGGGGCAGCATAGGGGTTGGCAGGGGAAGGGAGATGAGAGGGAGGGACTGGGTAGAGAAGGGGGAGGGTAAGCTCCTATCTAGATGTAAAGTGAATAAATAAGTGAATTAATAAAAGGAGAAGACAAAAGCAGAATGGGGCATGAGCTTACTGCTGACAAGAGGTAGGAAGGAAATGTGGTGACTGTTGATAGAAGAATGGTAAGAGGCAAATTTGGAGACTGGTAGAAGTTGAATAATAGGTACTGTGCTCAATAGGGAGACTTTCGACCATACTACTTGTTTACTATAGTGCACTAGAGTATAGTATAGTATAGTATAGTATAGTATAATGTAGTATAGTGTATACTTCACCAGTTAATATCTGTAGTATAATATACGTTATACGTTTGGGGTAAGGGAGTAACATGACTTCTTTAAATCTCTAAAAATTAATACTGCTGCTCTTTGGAAAATATCCTCTAGAAATATCTGAGAAAGATGGAGGGAACTCAGCTGAGGGACTTGCAGCAAATCCAAATAAAACATGAGGACTTTTGGAAGACTCTGATGGTATTAAAGGAAGGAGCAAGGAGGAGGTTTAAGATCTATTGTAAAGTAGAGGCTTTGAAGGTTGTTTTCGGTGAGTTAACTAGCTAATTCCACAGTTACAAACCATCCTCAAGTCTCAGCGTTATAAAACAGTGATGGCTCTATGACAGCTTTCTCATTGTATATATTGTTTGTCTTGAGTTATCAGAGGACATTGGATACATCAGGAACCCAGGCTGATGGAAATATTGTCTCATCATAGGGAATGCATAAACACAGGAATTCTGTATGTAACTTTTTTTCATATTTTTTTATCAAATAAAAGGCACCTTGTAACTAAGTTCCAGTAAATAAGAAAATGAAGTTCTTACATAAAATAGGGAAAGCTGAATATCAGCAAAAAACAGTGATATCTGTTATAAAGGTGAATCCAATATGGTGTCTGATGTGGAACTGGACATAGGTAGAGAATCAAGATTGACAACTGAATATTTGACTGATACACTCAGGTCAACTTTCTATGTATTTCCTGTGATGAAGAGAATTGCTACAAGGCATATTTATATGAAAATATATAGAAAATAGGAGTGACATGGCAGATAATCGAATATGGTCTGATTTCCAATATCTAACCAATTCTTCAATATAAAAGTCTGTTATTCATTCCTGTAGCTCAATATAAAATCAAAAAAGACAAGGTGAAACAATGATCATATCTTAGTGTGAGGTGAGTTGAAAGAAGTGCTCACACATCTTATGTAGAGGAAAAATGCCACCAAAATGAAACATAGTGTATAAAAAGTTAGCCTTAGCAGTTCGGGGCCAGGCCTTGGGGAGTTTTGGTAGGTGACTGCAATTACAGACTATACACACAAGGAGAAGCATGGCAGTCTTTATTCCTCTTCTCATTCAGATATTTCCCTACTATTACTTCATGATCACATTTCTATTATTAATATCATTGTCATCATCATCGGTTACCTAATTTGGCACTTACAGGTGGCCCCATTGTGATCCGTCTATCCGTCTATCTACTCACAAGTCATTCAGCTTTGAAAGAGGAAAGGCCAGTCTTGAGCTTGGTGGAAAAGGGTACCTGCACTGGGACTCTTGGTTGATCTAATCCCCTGAAAGTTTCCTGAAGGAAAAAAAAGGAAGAGTAATGATATGATGTGGTTCTCCCATTAGTGGTCATGTTTCCCTTCTCCAGATGACCTTATAATTCAGTGTCACCTTCTCTTGAGGTTCAGGCATCACACTATAAATGACTAGTGTTATGGGATTGGTAAGGTTTGTGGTTTGCCATTTACTAACCCTGTTTTTGAAGATTTAGGATGGATACTTTTCTTTTCTGAACACAGTAGTCAGTTGGATTCTATTTGATTTCACAGACCACGGCCATTGCCATGAAACATTACTTCCATACCCAGAGGGCCACAACTGGAGCCCTGTGATCTATGTTCTGTCCCCATCATGTACTAACTTAGTTTTCTCCACATCAGGATGGTGAGGGAATGGCTTTCATGACAGATTCAGGAGCTCAGTAAAACCTGCAGAAGGGATCCTGACTGAACAAATTGCACAATTGGGAGAGGAAGCAGCTCTTAAAAAGAGGAGTCTCAGAAGGAGTAGGAGAAGAAAAGAGTTGAACCCAAAAATATAGTCCGAGAACTGAAAACCAGAAAACTTAAAAAAAAAAAAAAACCAAAAGG